ACCTGGAAAGGCGCACCTCTTTGTCACAGTGCCGTGCAGGTACAAAAAATATGCACCTGCACCCACGACTCAAACACACACACACACAACCAGCTCAGCAGCCTAAGGGGTTTCCTACCTTCTCTGGTTGTAGGATGGGAGATGACTCACTCACAGGCTGCATGGTGGTGTGTGTGGCTGGCTGTCAATCCTCAGGGGAGTACCCATTTCCACCTACATGAGTGGAGTATGTAGGCCGTAATGACTGTGACTTAGACGAAGAAAGAGCTTGTCACAGGAAAAGCGGTTATTTTCTGATGCTGTTGTTCACTTGTCATAAGGGAGTAAAGTGAGCTAAATCGTGCAATTCAGGCTGTGATGATGGGCTGTATTTTCTCATATTGGGTATCTACTCATACTAAACCACCTACTCAAGTTAATGTTTGACCCCTTTGCATACAAGACACCATAGCAACTACACGCATTGAAATGTAGATGTGAGCCCTATTTTGAATTCACAAAGAGAGTAATACAATGTTTGTTCCTGCCGAAGAGCTTGCCTTTGTTTTACCAACATTATAAAACAACAACTAATGTGCATTACTAATATATTCTTTTAACTTCACTAGATGCATTATGTTGGTCTTGCAAGTGTGCAAACTACATTACATTTCAAATTCAAACAGCTACAGGGAAGGATTAGTTCAAACAGAGCCTCCTCATGTTAGCTCCGCAAGCATTAGCAATTGTTAGCAAACCAAACAAATGGCAATACACTGATGGCCATGTAAGGGTTGCAATTAGTACCATGAAGGGCCAAGCAACTCAGATTTCAGAGTAACACTTTAACCCTACAGACAGCAAGTATTCTGCACTCAACAGATAGACTTCAGGTGGAGAGGCGAGTGGACATAGGCAAGATCTACGGTATATTTCTGCAGGCTCTACAGGGCTTTTAGGTTATAGATCCACTTAGGCCTACTAACACTTAAGTGATGCTTTTAGTCTACATGTCTCTTGTTCATGAGTACTGTCCGTTTCAGCATGCAGGACACTCTACTCTTATATGTACTGTATACAAACAGACCTTTTGTTGTTTCATGTTGAAACCAGAAGTCGTTGCCCTGTATTTAGTCAAATCATTTATTGGTGATAGGCGATTAGATCAGAAAATTAATTAGCAAGTATTTTTCTAAAGTTGAATATATTTCAATTTAGGTTCATGGTAGGACAGAAAATCCAATTTGAGGACATGTTCAGTGCTATAGGAAACAGCAGAGTAACAGAATCGCTTGTTGACCAGCGCAAAGAAAGGCGCTTGTAGTGTGAACAGCCAGGCTAGTGCTAACAATCTGTTAGATTACAATTCAATGAAATAAATGAGGATCTGCTGTTTGTTGCAACATTTGACTGATGTCTATACAGTACATACTTTACATACCGTAAATAAACCACGCAGATGTTCCTCACCATTATAACATAAGAAGAAATGGTGCATAAGATGAACTCTGCTCATATTTTTTCTGTCACCAAGTTTCTGAGATCCGACCACCTTCCATTGTGTCTGTCTTTGTCACTTCTTGTCTCCCAACAGGCCTTTGAAATGAATGAGTACCGGCTGCTTTGTGTTTTGTTTTCACTGCCAGTATAAACCCACTGTTTAAACAGCACGAACATTGGTGTGCTCATTGGCCAAGTGTTGCCTGTAGTTTGTTCTGCGAGTATTTCTCAAGCATCTCTGAGCTTGAATTCAAATGAACTCATCTGTTCCTTTTTCTGATTTAGTTTCTCATCACCTTGGATGACATTCATTCTTCTTTCTTTTTTTTTAAGATGATGCAATACTGTGATTATGAGTATTTATGCGGGGCTGAAGAAAATGAACTGTGCCATGTGCCGATGCTAATTTACTGCCATACCCATAATAACGGTAAAAAATGCCATAGTAATGTTCTGTCAGATTGAAATATTGCTTTAACAGTGTAGGCGGAGAGGCTTGGATTCACCCTCTGGGATTATGTGGTGAGCTCGATGGGCCCAGATGTTTCAACAGAAAAGGAACAAATGCTAATTACTCTGCATATCTCTAGGCATTGCACATAGAAATGCAAGTTGTAAGCACCAAATATCCTCAGACACATCTCCTAGCAGGAATACTGCAATTATTATAATATTGAATCGCTTAATTCTGCTCAAAATGTTCTGTTACAGAACATTTAATTTTCAAATGTCTCTAAGTCACAATCTGGTGGTAAGCAACAGTGAAACAAATGATACAATTCAATTATCTTGAAATATAATCGAATGTACTTTGATAGCCTTTTTGCAACCAGGGCGGGCAGAATAATGTAATGTCATTATAGTGAATGGTCTTTATCTACAGCCGGCAGTTCAACTTTTAATAAAAGTGCATAAATGACATGTAACTGGCTTCATTATGAGGGTGAGCTGATGCAGTTGTTTACACTCGGGCTTCCAAAGGCTTATCTCTGCTTACGATAAATTACTTTGAGCAGGGCAGACAGATCTGTAAGCTGTTGTATTTAGACACAACACAGCCGAACACTCAAGAGACCACAGACTCTTTGTTTTACAATATTCAGTGCAGAGTTAAGGCAATGTTATTTTTTCCAGATCCATTTAGACACATGTGGCTTTCAGCTGACAGGCTGCATGGGGCCGGGGGGCGGGCCGGGGGCAGAGAACAGCGTCTGTGGTCTTGGTGATTTGTCACCAAAAATGAGGTTTACTAAAGCTGGCAGTTTATTGTTGGGCTAACTACTGATGTGAAACCGGGTCATGAGTCAGGCACGGCACGGTATACTCACAGTCGTGGTAATAATGCTTAGAGATCCGATTTATTTTTATAATTTCTACTGCATTTCACAATTGATGTGCTTCATATTCCACATGCAGGTAAGGTGGATAGGAAAAATGGGGGTTCTCTTTGAAACCAACCCTAAACGATTAATTGCCAGTGGTGTGCTTCACAGGGGACTTGAGAGCATCTTTAGTTTCCATGTGTTACTTAAAGGGGAAATATTATTCTAGTTTTCAGGTTCATATTAGTTTGTTGTGCCTCTACTGGCACATGTTTTAATTTTCAAAAAGGGCTTCCATGTTCTCATACTGCCTGTGCTGTGGCAGCTCTTTTCACCCTGTGTCTGAAACCAGAGCCCAGTCTGCTCTGATTGGTTAGTTGGTCATTGTAGTAGTAGTAGGTAGGCTGGCTAATAGAAGCGCAAGTGTTACATAGTGATGACATTATGTTAAGGAAGTAAACAAAGGAGTCCAATGGAGGCGTTTCAGGCAGGGTCAGGGTTGTGTGGGAGAGAAACTCCCTCTGGAAGGAACTTTAGGATTTTAGCCGTAGCAGAGCATTTACATTGACAAAAACCTTTATAACAAGCAGGAAAGTGAAACCCTAAAAAGCCGAGTAGGGCCTCTTTAAATGAAGTGAACACTTAAACTCAATGAGGTTTGACTTTTAAAGCACAAGTCAATCGGGTGATTCTATCCAGTTCATTTCTGGCAATATATGAATGTTATCAAACTGTTCCTAAAGTCCAGCTTATCTAAAATGAGAGCCGGGTGACCTAATTGTTGGCGTTACCAGCAAGAGCTGATATGGATGAAGAGATGAAGTTAATGCATACATACATACAGCTACATCTATTCGTCATGATTTCTGTGAATCCCTTTAAGAAAGCATTTCAAGCTCAGAGAGGAAAAGATAATGAATGAGAATTGGCATCAGTATTTAATGTAATAGGAAAGTAAAGTATGAGTAAAACAACAAATGAATCTCACATGAGCATTTTAATCTGGTATTTTATGTTCTAAAAAAGAAAAACAGGGTCATTTTCACGTGTCCGAGAATAGCATGGGTTTCCTTCAGGATCTCCCCTTACCTCTAACAGTGGCATGCATGCTGTGTGAAAAGGTGACTGGAAATTGCCTGAAGGTGTGAATATGAGAGTGTGAACAGTTTGTCCATATTAATGTGTTAGCCCCGTGGAAGACTGGCGACATGTCCAGGGTGTACCTTATACCTACAAATGTGCTGGGATAGACGCAAACACCATGTGACCATCCACAGGACAAGCAGGTCTATAAAATAGATTGATGGATCGAAGGAAACTGGTGAAGCGTATACAAATGAATGATAAACAAATCAAACTCTGAAAAACTGTTTGGTGAAGAAGACTGACGTTTGTAGTACATGCAAAATATAATGTGTGCTAAAAAATAAAATAAAAATGGCTTCTTGGTTTGTAAATGGCAGCAATTTAAGTTTTCCCAAAAATCTATGGCAATATTTTCAAGAATGAATGAGATATTTTCCTAACTTGTGTAACATGAGGAAACACCATCTGTACAAATGACTCCACATTATTATGATTATACCCTTTAATTATAATCATAATGACTCTTAAGTCAAATGTATTCCTGTGACAGTGGTGGTAATGAAAATTCAGCTCAAGGGAAAGATTTTCAAGCTAATCATTTTTGATGAATCATGTGATTTTCTTTGCAGTGTTCTTTTTCACCACTGACAATTCCGTGAGGTTTTACACAAGCAAGTACGAATGGTGCCACTTATAAGTGAGGGTGATTATGAGCATACCTAACAAGGCAAGGTTATATGAGTGAGAATGCACAAATAGTAACATTTGAGAGAGAAGACAGAAGAAGAAAAAATTCACAAGAAACCAGCACTACTTGCTGGCACAGACTTGGAACTGGTTGACTATGACTTCGTCGGACAGTTGTATGACCTCAGCGGGCCGAGCAACCCTGACGTTAAACGGACTGGATTAAGGTCGTCATAACCTTTTCTATCGGTGATTCGAGGCTTGCTTCTTTTTCATTTGCCTTTAACTATCTGCTCTTATGCTTGTATGTACTCTTAACCTATTTAATTTCCTTCTCCATCCCTTGGCCTTTCCACACTTTCTTACTGCTTTAACCCTCTTCTACTCTTTCCTTCCCTGCCATCCCTATACGCTTTCCCTCTCCAGCTGGGTTTGTGAAGTCGCCAATGTCTGAGACTAAGCTTACGGGGGACACCTTTGAGCTGTACTGCGACGTGGTCGGTAACCCCACTCCGGAGATCCAGTGGTGGTACGCTGAGATCAACCGAGCTGACTCCTTCAAGCAGCTGTGGGACGGAGCCCGCAAGCGTCGGGTATCCATCAACACGGCCTACGGCGCCAATGGGGTAGGTGTGCTCGGCATCACGCGTCTCACACTGGAGGACTCTGGGACCTATGAGTGCCGGGCCAGCAACGACCCCAAGCGAAATGACCTCCGACAAAACCCTGCCACCACCTGGATCCGAGCCCAGGCCACCATTTCGGTGCTACAGAGTGAGTGGTCTCTGGACTTGCCTGTGCAATGTGTAACCTTGTGCCTTCTCAGCCATTAAGCATGTGACTGTGAATCAGTAATGACATTATATCCTTTAACTCTCTGCACTATGCACACACAACATTCAAACAAAGTGAATTTCAACTGGACCTTCCTAATCTGTACATGCTTCAGTGCCCTGCCCACTGGAGCACAGGGATATGTGGAATGTTGTTAGTCATAGTGAAGCTCTCTGAGAAGCTTAGAGGAGTTTGATCCATTCTGGCTTTTCTGATTGGACTGACACATTTTGATTTCTGTGTGAGCACTATTTGATTAGGTGTGGGGCAATTCAATATCATAAGAAGTGCTAAGGACTTTTCACGTACTTGTTTTCTGCTATCCAGTCCTCGCTAAATATATTCTGTCATTACTGACTGGGGAGTACGTTTTGTTCACATATATGTAACATCCATTTTAATACATGTATGTAACAGGATATATATACACTATATCCCATTGAGCTAGCTTGTTGCTGGGGAAACGAGCCAAAGTCTGATTGCTTTGGTGTTTAATTTAATTTTGTGAATCACTCCTAAATTCATGTCCCTAGAATCCGTTTATATGTATAATAATTCCGTCTCTTTACAACACTTTTTAATGACTACTCTTTTTAGCATTTGGATGAATTTAATTAACCAAAAAACTTAAAGGAGCAAAAACATATGCATGCCTGGATAATACTGTATGTGGGATACATTGTTTTTCTCATTTAACTCAAAGCAGGAAAGACAATTAGCATGTGTCCCATAATGTCACACTTCGTCTAATTTAACTGATTCCAATGATGGCCAAATGACTGTTGAAACAACTTGAAGCACGCTCTCTTCATTGCTGGCTGTTACACCAACATGTGGCTTAATACAGTGTTGCTATGTCGCACTTCTTATTCATCATCACCCTTTGAAAAAGTCCTTTTAAAATGTTCTGGTGAAATTGTTGTCGTGAATTTAAGGCAAGGCAAGTTTATTTCTAAAGCACCTTTCAACACGAGGCCATTCAAAGTGCTTTACACAAAATGAAAGACATTAGGGGCGTTTAGATACAGTGCAACGGAATCACATTATAAAATGACATTTAAAAACATTTATGGTAATTATGGTGCATGAGTGGTTTTGCGGTGTTGCTGTGGATTTTACTTTTTTTTCACAGTAACAAATATTTTTTATCCTGGGAATTCAATGTTCCAGTCAATAAGGGGCAATTTATTCATGCTTGAATACATAAGCAATCATGTTGTATCTCGTATAGCTTTACCTTATGACATGAGTCTCAGTGGATTCTGGGAACGGACATACTGTGCAATAAAAGCAGTAAGCATGTCTGCGATACTTTGCTTTTCAAAACCGCCAATGCAAATATCCACTGTTCGTATACTATAAATAATCAAACAAATATGTGTTAATTAGACACAAGAATGTATTAATAATGGCATGTCCTTATTAAGAATGAGGGGTTTAAACCACGTGCTAAGACGGCCCACTATTCTGGTTTGATTACTGGGACATCTCTCTGTTGGTGCACCTTCTGCATCATAATGTGCTACAATAATATGATTTGGGGACTTTTACAATGATATAATCCTCCCCCTAAATATAAAAACATTGGTTGCATGTCTTTGCTGATATGCAATCATTCTAAAAAAGCAATACCCCTGATTTAATATCTGTCAGTTAATTGGATACTATCTAAATGCAGAGGGGGATCGGGCTTCACCACATCTTGAGCAACCGTTTATTTTTAGAAACAATGTGATCGAGGAATACAATATCCAGCAGTTACCACATTTTAAGTTGCGACAAGGTGTCCTACAAACAACCTTCTGGTTAAATTGCCTGTGGACCACGGTGCCGTGTTTGCTAAATGCTAATTTATGTACCTCATGTTGTGTGTGTATGCATGTCTCAAAGATACTATAAATAGAACATGCGGCTCTGCTTGGGAGGGGGGCGAGAGATGTATGGGGGAGGGAAGAGAGATCCCCTCAGCTATTGAGTGTACAGAATTGCAGGAGGAAGGTGCCATCAATGCTAATAGATGACACTTGCAGATCTCAGCCGCCCCTCTAACCCCCTCTGCTTCCCCTATGCCTTGCTTGTGGCTTTGCAGCAGCCAGTAGTAGGATTATGATGCTGCTCCTCTCTGCTCCTCCCCTCTGGGGCTCCTCCGTTGCCATGGTTGGCCCGCCCTGGAGGAGGAGGAGGAGGAGGAGGAGGAGGAGGAGGGGCAGGGAGGAGGAGGAGGCTTCCTGCTCACTACTCAGAGCAAAGGGCGCCTCGCTCTCAGATGACACCTCCTGCTTCCCCCCCAATGTCCTTGAGAAATGGACCCTGGTATTCTTTAGCAATTCAGAGGGTGAAGCGACGTGTGCAGTCATTCAGCAGTAATGTAAAATGTCAAAGGACTGCTCAGTGTATTAATCTTCAGCCCAGATATCCAAGTACAAGACAAGGATTCTTTTTTTCTTTTTTTTTTAAACATCCTTGTTCTGATGACATTCAAATGCAATCTTAGGGTGCGCCATCTTTGAGAGCCCATCCAGTCTCCTTTTTTAAATTGAAACGTTAAGATACTGCAGTTATCAGCTACAGTATATCTGCTAATATCCTCCTGTACAATGACCATTTAAATGATTCAGAAAACCTTCAAGAAATGCAGAGATAGTCGTGTTATAGTCCTAATAAATCAAATGTATACTTAGATTTAATCTCAATATCCCAGAGGACATTTTGTTAGTGTTTACTTATATGTTTAATGTTTATCCGTCACCTCAAGATCAATGTTAAGCACATTTTTTACAGCTGTTTCATGTACTATTATGTCTTTTGTTTATTCTGTTGTGTTCACTTTTGTCTTCACTTCATAGACCCCCTCCTACACAGATCATATAAAAAAAGAATTCAGCCCAAAGCTACAACTACAGCATGGGAAGAAGCAATGAAACAGCTTTGAGCCCCACTTCTGTGAAAAGGTTTGACTCTCTCTTTCTTGCAGAACCAAAGATCAATGCCACCGATGAGATCGTCCTGACGGGGGAGTCTCCTGCCAAACCCGTGACCCTGCAGTGTAACCTCACCACGGCCCATACTCCACACAGAGAGAGCTTCTGGGTGAAGAACGGCGTGGAAATCAAATACACACGGACAGAACTGAAGCACACATCACACAGGTGACAAACAGCGTGGCCCCTACAGTATGTAGAAAGTAGTGAATATTGCATTGTAGAGTGAATTATTAAAAGGGAAGGGAAGCAAAAAAAAATTCAATCCTGTCACATCTCAAACAGTAGAGGAGGGAATGTTCCTCGCTGAGACAAAGGCAGAATACTGATCGAGTGTTGCTCACATTTTCAGAAACAGTAACCCAGGTTTGTTGTTCTGCTTGGATAACTAACTTCCTGTATTAGCGTGTATATGGGTCAGACCACATTGCTGCAGATATTTTTTTTCTTCTACAGGAAATAGTCTACGTACATTTTGCACGATTACCATATACACGGGAGAGACAGCCTCACATCGAATGTAGATTGTCAGCATGTCAAATTCAAACTCAATGCGTTGCCAGGTGCATAATGTGTTCAAGTTTGAAACATCCTCACACCCCTGTTGATTGCTTCGAACTGTTTCCTGAAAAAACTGCCAAATATTGAGCTACAGCTACGCATGCAGATAAACTACCATACCTTAAAGTACCAACTAGTTGTTACTTCCTGCTGTCACACGGTATAATCAGTGGAGCACAGAGCTACTGTCGCCCCCGTAGACATAGCACAGACTCTCCACAGCCACAAGATAAGACCAATTGGTCACTTCCTTGTCACATTACATCAGTGATACTCTGAACATTACAGCTAAAATGCCTGTGATGCCCTGCAGACTCCTGAGCTGTTGTTCCGTAATATAACAGCATAATGTCAACATTTTGTCTAGCATGGCCTTGCAGACGCCTCAAGCTTTCACGGCACAACTAATTACTCGAAGTTAAACTGAAATTAGTTGTCTTCATTTACTTGACTACCTTCAGTGTAAGCGACTGGTAAATGAAAGTTATTCAATTCGATGGTGTTGTGCTTTTTTGTTGCAGAATCGTTAAACCACGGGCAGATGATTCTGGGGAATACATGTGTGTTTACACATTTGACATGGCGCCGAATGCAAATGCTACAATTGAAGTAAAAGGTAAGGTTTATTTTTGACGTATCAACACAAACAGTTGTTAATCCAAATGGCATTATCTGCTTTTGAATTCCTCCATGATGCATTCAAATTCTGAAAAATCCCCGGTTGTAGCTTTTAGCTTTTCTTCTGGGTTTTCGGAGGGAGGGAATGATGTCCTCTATGTGTAAACGACCTAATGCTGAGTGAAGTGGGTCCTTGTTGAAAAAGATGTTTGAATTCATGTTGTGCAATTGGTGATGACGGGGAAATCCTGAGGCCGTTGTCACTCTTGGCTTTCACTGAGAGAACCATAGCAAAATGGACAGGCACTGCACATGCTCACTAAAACCTGTAAACACACAAACCACTGGGAGGCAATGCTACGAGTGGTTATACACAACTCATGGTTCACGATTTGTAAATGTATTTTATGTTTTATAGATATAATAACAGTAGAGAAACCTAACTAAGACTGTCAATGTAATGTCAAAAAACAATAACCAAACAACTGTGTTGGTTTCATTCAAGCTGATCCCAAAGCCTTCAACTTGAATAAGGGACCTTCTCTGACAAAGGGCAAGTGAAACCCTGTTCACGAGAAGCTTGCCTGTGTGTAGAGCTTAAGCCAATTTGCTGTGGCATGGCTATGGTACATACTGAGCATGCCCTGACTCATATTCCACGGTGGTCTTAAAGCGCTGCCTGATTGCATAACATGGGTGATGGCCGTGTGTGTTCTGCTTTCACTCGATTGTGAGATGATGGGACTCATCGCTATTCAAACCGAAGTTTCCTAGCCGTCACCGGACTGCAGGACTGTGACTGTTGAGGCTTGCTATCTGTCCCCTGCAGCAAAACGTCATTCTTTGAACTAAACTGATGATGCATGCCCTTTAAATAGGCCTACATCCTATGTCTAAAAAAACCACAGCATGTTTTGACGCTTAGAGCCGCTGGATCCAAACAAAGCATTTCCTTTAAGTTAAATACCGTTGTGATTTTCTAGGGGTGTTTGAGATCTTTTGTGACCCAGGTAGCAAGCCCGCTGTCCTCCCAGCCAGCTTTGCACTGCGCTTCTGGCAGCAGTTCACTGAGATCCCTCGCCTACAGTGTCCTTGGCACGCTCATCCTTATAGGACTCAGCTCAGAGGCAACAGATGGAGGCTTCTGTGATGTTGTAGGATTAAGGCTCTGAATCCCGCCCCAGCCATCTCTGTGGCAGCAGTGGAGTTTATTGTCTGTGATACTAAGCTTACCATAGATACATATTTCGTTCATCATATATCCCCAAATGTCAGCATGAAATATTTTAACATGCATGCAATAATTATTAACCATTCCAAGTGTATGCAATTCATGTCAATCATAACATGTCACCACTTAAAAGGAAAAGGATTTGATTAAAATTGCAATCACCTCTATCGGTTCTTTTAAATTCCTTCTGACAGCTTTGACCTTGCACGACCTTCTCACATGAATATGTCACTTTACCTCCGTCTAGCACGCGGATTCATAATCCCAGTAATCGTAGTCAGGAGTGTGAAATGGAGGTTTCTGCCTGTTTTAGCCCCACACTGAGGGCTGTCTCTGTGCTGTCTGTCACCGACATAATACAGCCGGGATAAGGCACCAACGAGCTTGGCCACTCCCCTTTTCAGGGAGCACGTGCGCACCATAATTACAGAGCAGTGATGTCAGCAAAGAGCTCAGACCCCTCCTTCTCCATTATCCATGCGCAGCTGAAAAATGCCAACTCCAGGCGTCTCTCTTATCCTGCTTAATTGCATGGAAGGAATTATTGTCCTTTTGAGGATTAGCGGGAAAGCAGGAACAGTTATCTCCCTGCCGCTGTGCAGAGTTACACGGAGAGTCTGTGTCACACCTTTGGGAAAGACTTCTACGGATGGATCAGTCGGACTTGGCATCTGTTGCAGTGCCTTATGACATATGCCGACAATTTATTAAATTCAAAACCTTTGTCTTGCATTTTTATCAGCGGTTTATTCATTAATCGGCGGACGATTTACACCGTTTTCCTTTGGCACACTATCTCCTTTGTGGAATTGACTATAGAATAATTTTGAATGGGAACATCTGGTAACGCATATTATACTGATTCCCCGCCTCCCTGAACTCGTTATGAATTGTATTGAAATGCTTTTATCACTTCCATAGTGATATTCCCGCTTGCTGGGGTTTTGGGTAGACAGGCTCACAAAATATCTGCGAACCATAGTTTTATTAAGAGTTGAAGTCCAGCCCAACCATCTGTTCTACTTCACTTAATGCAGCTTTACGAATATCCTTTCTTTAATCTATCTTTCTTGTAATCTACAAAATCATACTGGGTTATTGCGTCTGTGTTAAATCTTTCTATACGGCTTAAACACGACGTATTTTATTTCTATACGGCTTAAACACGACGTATTTCATAAAAATATACCCTTCTTAATATTAATAAAGGGAAAGCTATTTGTAAGCATTTATCAACTACAGCCCCCCTGAGGTTTTGTTTGCATGTCTATGTTAAAGACTCAGGGGAGCTGTACTCTAATAATTAGAATATAATTAGTGCCACAGCATGTGCTAAAAATGATTTACTTTGGAATCGGCGTTTAGCATAGTTTTTTATAAAGAATAATAAAGATTGTCGAGCCGAGTGGAAAAAAGGATAGCCTTGAAATGAAGGAAACATTTCTTTCTCCGTGTGAGATACTGGGAAGTAGTTACATGACTTCAATTAAATAATGCAATGTGATTTGATCTGCTAAAGTTTAAAGTGGTGAAATAAGAAAGGGAGAATGATCAGTGGTGCTATAGAGACTCTTAATTACACTCCTCTCTCTTACGCCGACAGCTGAATAACACACATTATTACCACAGCCAGAACAGCCAATCACGCTCTCCTTATTCATGCCATCTGGTAGCTGCTAAAAACGTGCCTTTGAACGTCTTACTTCTGCCAACTCAGCTAATGATGCGTTTTTTATTTGTTTGTTTTACCTTTCCAGCAAAACCTGCAATCCACGGTCACAAGCGAAGTGAGAATAAAAACGAGGGGGAAAATGCAATGCTTTACTGCAAGTCTGTCGGCTACCCACATCCCACCTGGACATGGCGTAAAATGGACGGAGCATCTTACGCGGTATGCCAATATACTGTATATACAGATTATATATATACGAGGAGGCGTGTGGTGCAGTGGGTTGTGCGTTGGGATCAGGTTCAAACCCCGCTGCAGTCAGCATGTCGTTGTGTCCCTGAGACACTTCACCCCAAATTGCTCCTGTGGGGATTACCCACAGTATTGAGTATGTGAGTTGCTTTGGATAAAAGAGTCTAACAAGTTAAATGTAATGTAATATCTGAATACTGTACTATGTATACATAAATATGAAAACAGATACAATGCTAACAACTTCAATACTCTCCAACTGTCTTCTTTGTACCTTTCTTATTGTGTCATTACTTGATGCATTGTCAATATTGCCAATAAAGCATATTGAATTGAGATAAGCAGACAGACAGGGTATAGTATATAAAATGAGTAATGTATATTATTTGTATTCATGTGTTATTAATGTTTCATTGTCTTTGCTTTTAATGTTACTAATGTGTTGTATGCTCTTAATGTTTTTCATTTTGTGTGAAGCACTTTGAATTGCCTTGTGTTGAGAAGTGCGCTATAAATAAACTTGCCTTACCTTATACTCCAAGTTAAGTATTTATAATGTAATCAACTTTAAGGAATGGTTGTTGTGTTGCAGGACATCAACAACTCCACTGGTCGCTTCTTCATCACCATCCGAGACAACTACACAGAGCTCAACATACTGAAGCTGGATATACTCTCCGATCCTGCCGTTTACCAATGCAATGCCACTAGTGTGATTGGAAACACTGCAGAGACCACTATTCTACGGGTGCGGAGCAACCTTGCACCGCTTTGGCCTTTCCTGGGTGTGCTCGCAGAAATTATTATCCTAGTAGTCATCATCGTTGTGTACGAGAGGCGCAAGAATCCAGACGACATTATTGAAGGTAAGAAAGCTTTGTCCGTGTTGTGAGCAGTAGGCACTAACACATAATATGAATGAAGAGTTTGAATGAATTTAAAGAACAATGTTGTCATTTCAAACCTTTTAGAGGGTTTTCGTGTTTGATCGTTGCCATAGAAAGTGTTGTCATCAAAAAGCAAAGTGCATCACATCTTAAAGAACCAGTGTCTAGGGTTTAGGGGAATTAAGTGCCAGATGTGTAATATCATTTCATAAACATGTTTTAATAAGAATACTATTGTAATGTTTGCCGTGTTGTACCACTATGAAAAACACTGGGTTTAGAGAAGGGCTTGTTTTAATGTTACCTGAAGCCACCATAGCTTCCAACCGATACATTCCACTAAATTCTACACACTGGTTATTTAATCAATAAGATGTTTACAGAGAAGTACCACAAGGTTGCATCTTCTCTCAATGGATATATGTATCAAAAGAAATGTCTCGGATTGCCTTGGATGCATGTACATATGACCTTTATACATTTGTAAACTACTCAACAGAGGCTCACCTTTCAAAGAGTTGGCTTTCTGTAATGGTTTGTTTTCATGTTGATAGCAAAAAACATTAACGTGGGTTTTGTCAGCCTGTCGCTATATATACTTATTATATATACTTAATTGGTTACTATTCTTTTCCCTTCCCCAATCTTTCCAAATGGAAACATAATCTAACCGGGTGGTAAGTGAGAGATTCTGCATGGTTTGGGAGATGTCATTTCTTTCTGTCAATATGTGTTTACAAACCAGAAGCTGGGATATGAATGCAGTAACGTTTATTTCTTATATACGTTATAGTGAAATGAACATGTGTCTTCATTCATTTCCCCTCTCATAAGGTTGAACCCATACAGTCTGACATGTTTTTTTATGTTTGAACTTGGATTCAAATCCATTTTGTTTCCTTAACTGTTCTTAATTCAAATTAATGCCTGTACAAGTATGTAAGCAGTCCTAATGTCACAACTTAATCATGTCAATGAACTGTTAGGCTTGGGAGCAGAAGATTAAGTTAATCACTTTGACTGTTAATGACAAAACTTTACGCATTTTTAAATTGCTTTTTTTTAGATATTTAAATCCCCAAAACCTGCATGCCTTGATTCAGTTATGGGGTAACTGTGCCTCTGCTTGGTGAATGCATAAAGATGTATACTTCTTATATCAAGTGAAGGTTTATTTTAAACAAATATTATCTCACCAATTTGGAGTAATCACTCAAGCACTGTAAATGGACAGGTAGAACTATTAAGACACTTTAGGACCACTCTTAACAACACATTGGTGTTTTTATAACTCAATAAGAACATTCAATTAAATGAATACTAACATGTAAATCCTCTAATACAGGAGGACCCTTGTTTTTCAATATAATGTATATTATAAAAAAGACAAAACTTGAGTCGTTAAGGCAGATACAGTCGAAGCATTACAGAGCCAAAGAAACATCTCTTGTTACCCTAGTGGCTAATTGAGGTTACACCAGTAGGTCTTAGCATTAAACCAACATATCAAAAAAACAGCTGTATGAACAAATAAAAACACAGGAATACAAAAGTTAGTGTTGTTAACATACATAACCAATTTACTGTATGCAATTATTTAAACGTACTTATAATCCTTAGCTTACAATCAGCTTTTCCAAAAGAAATGTCCCGTGTTTCTGGAGGGTAAATCCTACAATGAGAATGTGGACAGATAAAAATGTCTGGAAAGCCCGAGGGCGTTTGCAGTCACCACAGGTTCTGTCTGACCTCTACTCCCGTGGCTTTGCTTTCTTTTCATTTCCAAATAAAGCATGAACACACGATAAAAAACAAAATCCCAACCACTAATATATGAATCACTCCAACTGGACCACAGTACGCTCTTAATACAGACTGCACACATTGAGCTTCAGGGTACATCCTGCTTTTCATGGGAGAGATCCAGAAATGGAAATTGCAGTAGAATGAGTTGAATGTGTGACGGAAATAGAAACATCTGTTCGTGGCTTCAGTATTTGAAAGTGATCTTCATCTGGGATGCTGTTTCTCTTTTTCCCACACGTAGACTAAACATGTAATAACTGGTTAAAAATAGTGCTCATTGATGCTTAACAACCCACTGATTAACCATTCATTAGCATCAACACCAGTTGCTATTGCATCATTTGAACATAATATACAATACATTCAGTTTTACTCAGTAATATATATCAGTGTTTAGGTACCTACATGTCCTTAGTTGAACATAATAATGTATACTGAACCATTAATGATAGCTAACTGCATGTATAATCATCTGTTATCTTTATTCAAATAGCATTAGGTCATTTCAGAACACTGTTTGCTAATGATCCATAACAATTGTAAATCATTAGGGGGGAAAAACTGCACTTCACTTGCTCAAAATGCATGCACATACAAACCCTCCCAGCTCAAGTGGGCTCTCTGCATGGCCTCTAGTTGGAATTCATCTACTGGAAAAATGAAGCGATTAAGGTGGATTATATTCGCCATGTCTATGCCATTCAAATCTGGAGCGAGGAGTCCCTGCTCACGATGCACAGCCTCTCTAAAATCTCCCTTTAGCATCCCTGATTCCCGGAGGTTTTGGCCCCTGTCTGCATGCATTATGAATTCTGCTCTCTTGATGGCTTTGCTGTGTTTGAACACTTTTATACTCCGGAGCCAAGATGGCTTTTAGGCAGAGCCTGTCAGCCTGACACTTTTATACAGCGTTTCAAAACCAGTTGCGAAAATTACAGATGCTGCTGTGCTTAATAACAGCTCACTTAATGTAATAATAAGGCAAAGTTAAAGCTAAAAAAAATTGCACCCAGACGTTAGATAAACAACTGCAATCAGCTACAAATATATGTTACAGTCAAATGTGTGCTTGCTAAACAATTATCGTAAGTATAGTTTTTGTGGTGTATAGATATTAGGTGTTAAAACTGTGGGTCATGCCAACAGATGCTCCTCCCCCAAGTAATCACACAACCATGTTTTTGTCTGACATTATAACTGCCATAATCTGCTCCATGTTACTGCCATGCTGTTTATCTCTGACTTATAACTGCATGGACAATATCTCACTGTGGCTGACTGGTTACTTACCTGTTGACACATTTTCATCTGTATGCCAAACACCAACCACCCTGTCAACCCCGAGGCCGTGGGTCTTTCTTTGACTAACTTCTCACACAATATTCACCACTTCCTCTCCCTGCAGTGTTTTATGACTGTTACATTGTAATGTATGTTACAAACGTGCAATGTTTCTATGTTGTTATAATGAATAGAAATAGTACACTGCACGTAGATATTAACCACTGTGAGCTGCAGGGAATTGATGCTGAGAGCAAGCTTTGAAGGGATTCTTGTTGTTATGCCAAGTCAGTCGCAATGTGACACCAATGTACACTCTTTCAAAATCACTGACATTGCTAAGTGTAATTAAAAGAAGGCTTCAAGTGAGCCATCTGTAATCCTCCTACACATATGCTCAGTCTGAAATGAACAGGAAACCCCTGAGATTCAGATAGTATGTGGAGTTATGTTTCGAAGGCTTGGCATTAGATATGCGCTTATTAAATAGACCATGCCACATTCTCAGCCCCTTTACTACACATTGTGTTCCTCTTTAATGCAAGAAGCTACTAAAATCGGTGAATTCTTGTGGTTTCCTTCTGAGTCTGTAAATCAGACAAAAGGCTGGTGCATGCAAAGCTGTTCAGCAACTCTCTCCCATGTCGTGATGTCAGAGCTTCCCACCGTCACGACTCTGCCACACCAGCATTCAAATATTCACAGCAATCTGTGCTGTCAGCTGCATCTTCCCACCATATTTATGTTCACTGAAGGATTTTGGTAGTCTATAAGAAGCTAAATTCAGGTTGATTTTCACACCAACTGAAAGTGCAATTGGGAAATCTGTCAGCAAAGTCAATATTTTTGCAGTAAAATGTGTTGAAACATGCAGCAGATATTCTTTATCTAATATCTGTGTTCTCGTCCCTTTTCTTCTTTTCTCTTGTCCAAGATGATGAACCAGCGGTACCAATGTGAGTAAATAAATCACTCACACACAATTACTTATCATTCATGCTGATTTAATGGGTGCTGTGATTTTATTTAGCTATTACCTGAATGTCACTAAATCTTAACCCCTTTTTAACCCAGGAAAACAAATTCAACTAACAACCACAAGGATAAAAACATTCGCCAGAGGAATGCAAAATAAGCAATTTACTCAAGTAAGACACTTTTGTAGGGGATTCGGGCTAAATATAGAACTCACTGTGAGGATTATCCCTAGTCACACCTTCTCTTGATTTTCTCTTCACAGATGAGATGGCTAAACTGCAGTTTCTGGAGGTATCAGAGGTGGAGAGAGCTCCGGGCAGTTTCGAAAAAAAGCACATCTTGTCTCATTTTATGAGAAACAATATCAGCATAACACTGGCAACAAAAAGAACATAATGGCTGTCTTAAGCATGCCTTATTCAGTCTATCGTGGAGGTTTCAGGATGACGAATAATGACTAAACCACCACAAAGGTGTACACATTTTAATGTGCTGTTGATGTCTCCTTTATTGATTTAATCATATCCTCAAATGAGGTGATCCCTTTTGTATTACATATCATGTACAATGCATGCAAGGTAATTACGCAATAGGATACTCAGAATAGAGATTTTCTGTTGTTATCCCCCGTGTGGCTTTTTTTGCATCTAAAATGACCTGTGTTTTTTTATGGAGTCATCCCTATAATATATATATATACACATGTATATGTATATATATAGTTTGTTTTATTCTTGACAATTTGTACAGCATATCATGGTCATTTAACTGTTTGATTTTGTGACGATGAGTCCACTTTTAACAGAACTTTTATTGTGAAGCAACGGCTTCAATGACTGGCAGTATTTACATTTAATTGAGTGCTTACAGAAAATGACTCCTGTGTGTTTATCTATATAAACGAAAATGATAAGTGTATTATTCTTTTTTTCTTTCCAGAGTAACTTAGCTGTCTTGTATATGTTGAAGTATGAGTGTTCAAATGATAGGAAATCTGTAAAAGATTATTTTTTTTATATTTCCCAATTTCATTGATTGATTTTTACTTTCTATTTGTTCTCTCTTTAACTGTATAGCATGGCTATAATCCTATGCAATATGTATTCTTAAATAGATATATGGAGGGCAGTTTGTTTAACTCAGTGAAGCTTTAATATTGTGGGATCACTTGGAAGCTGGCATAGCAAAATTCACGGCTGTAGCTGCATGACTCCTGTTTCAATACGATGTATAAATGTGTGTTGCGGTGGGAATGGGCCGGCGTTAAGGTGGGATCAGAGGGACCAGAGTATATAGCCACGATCAAACATATGAGTGAGACCAATATTTTTTTTCTGAATAAAAATGTAAAAAAAGGAAACCAGCTTTTTCTGTTGTATTCTTCCTTTAACCACTTAAATGCAATACCATGAGAAGCATCCTCTTCAGGGTGAATAAAATAACTACCGCAGTGTAACATTTACAACAACGTCCGCAGTACAGTAACAGCCCATAACCACTGCCTACACAAACTCTACACCAATAAAAACGTTGCACTGACTTCTGCCGTCAGCGGTTGTTGGGACTCTTCACTCTTGGAGGAGTTTCTTCAGCTCTTCCTCCACTTTCTCCACACATGCGTGAAAGCTGGGATCCAGCAGTAACGTACGCAGGATGGGCTCCAAGTCACCTTGAATCATAGAATTGTTGCGATACACTTGAGGCAGAATCAAAGCATGCTCTCCCAAGATGTGCTGAGGAAAGGCAAACAACAGAAACACCTATGTTCATTCTCAATTTAAGAAAGTAGACACCCTTTAGTTATGTATAAACCAAAATTACAATGAATATGTTTCACAGCAGTTTGGGGCGAGGTGTCTCAGGGACACGACGACATGCTGACTGCAGTGGGACTCGAACTTGCTACCCCGTGATTCAAAGTTCAGCGCACAACCCCACTGAGCCACAGCCTCCCTTGTAACTTTACAATCACTACCTGAGTCAGACAAACACTTGAAATGAACCGTGAATTAAAAGCAGACGAACAATAGAAACACCTATGTTCATTCAATTTATATTATTTAGGAGCCAAATCATTAATGCTTATGAACAGGACGTGTAAAATCCCATTTGTTGTTATTTCTTGTAATTGTAAAAGTAATTTCTTTCTGATTGTTTTGTAAAAAAACTAAAAGCAAACAAGACAAACATGTCGCTGATGACGATGACCTAATATTTTATTTATAAGAAAAATATATGCTAGAGGGGGTGGGACCAGAAAAAAAAATGTTAAGCTTCTTCTTGCCCCTGTTGAACATGGCCGATACTATTTGAGAATTATTGGTTTCTTTTAATTTATTTTTTATTTTTTGTACTTTATTATAATTATTAATTTGAGTGAGAAAAATAGAAGAAAAAAAATATATTTATTATTGTTCTATGTTTTTGTTTCTGACATGTTCAATAAATCGACAAAAAAAAAAAAAGTTAAGAAAGTATAGGCACATCCATTTGAAAATCAATGCTCTTCAGTAATATATAAAACAAAATGACGATGAATATGTTGCACAGCGAGTATTTCATTCTGGGTTCCACCTTACAATAAGACCACCCTTATAAAAGATTCATGTATAAACCAGTTATATCATAGTTTGCATACATCAACACATTGATTCATTACAAACTATTCGTAAACCCTTTATAAGGGTAGTCTTATTGTAAAGTGGTAACTAATTCTGTTATATTTCACTTGTAACTTTACAGTCCCTACCTGAGCCAGACGCGTGATGGTCAGTGATCCCCGGACCACTTCAGGCTCAGCTGCCACAGCCGCTTGCTGCACACAGACACACAACAGAAGAACCCAGTGTGACTCCATAGGTTTCAATCAATGGCTTCATTATTCATTTAAACATATCCACGCCCCAAAGCCCGTTCATCTTCACTGTGAATTCTTTTACTGTGTCTGTTCACTAAAGAGTCCATTCATGTCTCTGACCTTCGTGTTAAAGGTTGTTATTCACATGGCTGGATTTAGGTTTTACTAAACATTAGAATCAAGGATTAACCGAGTGTTTTCACATTTAAAGAATACAAAATGTTGCAAGTGAAATGAAGCAGTACAGACTTTTTGAGGTAGATCGAGTCTTAACGTTAACTGGTAAACGCTTTGAAAGCACCTTATATTATTCTCGGTTTCATAAAATCAACAATTTGACTGTTAAAGGCAATTTTAAGAATTCATCCAGGTACTTAAAAAGGTATGCCACCTTAAGCATGTATTTATGAATTACTTTTATCATTTTGTGTGTATTCGTTATGGTGGGACACACTGTATTCTACACAATATATTGTATTGTGATTTGCTTCTGATTCATGTGCAGTACATGCTCTCATCCTACTGTAGCTGCAGAGGCTAACATTAACTGTAAATAGCACCATCTAGTGAACATACTTTAGCCACTGCTGATGAAACTGACCACAGCACAAAACTTGAGTTTATGCAATCAGTACTGATTATAACACATCAATTATGGCACTTTCAAATGAAGCTGATATTTTATTTTAAAATGTACAACGGTGACATATGAGGTAAGCGTCTGATTTCTACCAAACAAAGACTATAAAAGGTCAAGTAAAGCAGTATGTCTGTGATACTGTACAGCCACGACTAAGCCATCTATGTCAGAAGGGATTTTCCAACACATTTTAACAGTACAAACAATTTCCTAAATTCTAAAGTGGGCAACCTGTATCACTGGTGCAGGGGTCTCAGCAGGGGACTGATTGGGGGGCAATGGGGCGTCCTCATGAGCGGTGACAGACATGTACTCCATCAGTATTTTCAAAGCGCTGGAACAATCCTTTATTGCCTCTGTCCTGCTCCTCCCATCAAACTGCATCCTCATCATGCGCTTCTCTCCCTGCAGGACACACACAAACACATTCAAGCTGTGCCCATGAAAGGCCTGTGTGTTGCTTTTGTTAAATCAACAGCTTGTTAAAAAGGTAATATAAAAGTAGCTGGGTACACAAGGAGACTTCCAAATGTAGTTTTAAGGAAATTCATGTCTGACTAGCAGTGGCCCATCGATGGGCCGGTACTGAAGTGGGCCGGTCGAATAAGTCACTAGCACCCCCCGTTGACTATTTACTAGCAGGATTTACAGTACTTGCGGTACCGTGGTGGGCCGGTCGGATAAGTCACTAGCACCCCCCGTTGACTATTTACTAGCGGTATTTACTTGCGGTACCGTGGTGGGCCGTTCGGATAAGTCACTAGCACCCCCAGTTGACTATTTACTTGCGGTATTTACTAGCGGTACCAAAAGGGGGCTGGTCGATAGTCCCTGGCTGATTTTTAGTCCCGCCCCCGCTGACTGGTCAAATATTTTTGGTAATATTTCAATTCAAGGAGGCTGTGCACCACTGCAACCCGAATAAAAACTATAAATTAAAACCCAAAAAACCATTAGTTTACCATTTTAATTTGTTATAGTGGAATAAAAGTAATGGTCTTGATCTTGAAAGAGAGTGATGGTGTTAGGTAGTATTTTCTCAAGGTCTTTCCTATCAAGCAATTGCAATTCATCTCACGACTCACCTCCTCTGTAAATCGAAGCATCAGGTTATCAGATGTCTGTTGTACATTGAAAACATTGGTTCCACCGAGCAAATTGACTGCATCCTGGGGAGAAACATCACAAGACAACAAACGTCCTTAGCAGCCTGGACAGGAAACAGTATTATCCATAGGCTAAATGAAATGTGGAGGGGGTAAATCATAGAGGTGTACTATTCCATGTGAAGCAACTCCATTTCCACACATTCACTCTGTAGTGAGGCAAAAACAGATACCTCAAACTGTCTGCAGGGGTCTCTATTTACCCAGTAACCTCCGAGCCTAAGCTTTGAGGCTTATAATAAGCTTTTCACACAGGGAATCAAAATAGCAGATGTATTCATCAAAAGCCAAATATTAAAATAAGCCTATTCTGTTAAATGTTGCTTTTTTTTAGACGTTGATAATAACATTATAGGTATATCAACACGCTTTGATTTGAACAATGGCACTTCACCAGCAGGGAGGGTACTGTACTGAAGCATTATCATTCCACATCAATAGCACTAAGTAAGTAAATACTAAGTAGTAATAGTAAGGTCACCTACTGTAATTGTATCTGGGTCCATTGCAAAAATACCATCGCTAAATTACTGTAATTGTAAAAATAAAAATAGGGAATTAACAATTACATTTTTGGTGAAATGCTGGTGAATATGCGATATTCAAATGCTTTATTTCATTAGGGAAACAAATGATTGGATTGTAATGTCAATTTAAATGCACACATCATTTGGGATTATTAAAAAGGAAAAATCTGATGAATGGAAACATACTGCTGTTTTACACAATCCTTCACTCAGGTGGAATGAGATCAGATTATGGATTACTGGTACGGCCTGTATTA